TGTGAGCTGCCGGTCCTTTCTAACAAGGTGCCTCTGGTTAGGTTCAAATTACAACTTTTTGGTTAGTTAGTAGGCTAATGCTTAACTGTGTGCACTGTAGTCTAGTTACCAGTCCTACTGGCTGGACCTTCACAACTGCCCGGCATCTGACCACAGTGCTCGGCCTCTGTACCACTGGTGGGGGCGTGGTGTGCGTCAGCAGCAGCCGTCCCTAACCCCGCCCCCACGCTTGCCCCACAGCACAGCCCCTTCTTTGCTGAGCAGCTGACAGCCTTCCAGGTGTGGCTCACGATGGGTGTGGAGAACAGGAACCCCCCAGAGCAGCTCCCCATCGTTTTGCAGGTGAGTGTCCCACGGGCCGCTTTCACCCAGGTCTGTGTCCGCAGTTGCCGGTGGCTATGCGTGGACCACATGGAGCCGGGATAGCAAGCCACACGCATTCGGTCAGAGCTTATTCCTCGAGAAGTTTCCTCCCTACCCGCAATTAAATATAGACCTGGGCTGTGCCCCCTCCCGCCCTGCCTCTCCATGCCCCACTTTGCGGAATCCGTGGTGGCATCACTGTCCCCGTTCTCCTCCTAGAAGAACGTGAGGTGAAGGGTGGGGGCAATGAACTCGCTGGAAACAGCACCTTCGACCCCTGGGACCATGCCATGGTGGGGACCGGCCCTGAGCCCCGCCCCTCCGTCTTCACCCAGCACCTGCCCCGGCTGGGAGATGGGTGTGAGGCTTCATCGTGGGGCTGAGCATTCCGTCTCAGTGAGTGTGGGTGTGTCCTGGGTCAGGACGTGTCGTCAGTGCAGACAGTCCCACAGCTTGAACGCTTGGAGAGCATCGTGCATCTTGGGGGCCTGAACGTGGGTCTGAACAGCAGCCTCTGGGGGGCGGGGGTGATGGGAACCCACCACTCTACAGCATCCTCATGCCTCAGGCTGCCGCAGTCTGGAGCAGACAAGAGTCCACTTGGAGCTTCTGTCCTGAAGAATGGGGCATAGGGGCGTGGCCTCTGAGCAGGAAACCCACATCGACTCAGCTTCCTTTCAGGGAGGGGCTGGGCTTTCCCATCTGGGGGGCCACACAGGTCATCTCCACGAGACCAGCACTCTCAGCGGCTGGCCCTTCCAAGAGTCACCATCCTCTGGACAGCATGTCCCTGACATGCCCGGAGCCCAAGGATCCCTCCGTGTGGAGCCTGTGCTGGACCACCATTGACATTCACCAGCAGAGTCTAGAATTCCTGGTCAGACTTGGCCCCAGGGCCTCAGACAACAGAGGGGACACCTAGGGGGATGTCCCCATGGGTGGTAACATCTGTAGGCCATCCCGCCCTCGGCATGGTGGCAGGAGGAGTGGCGTCCTGCCACGTCACTACAGGTGATTTGGGTGTTTTTGTGCTCCATTGGAGCACTGCTTTTCTGACACTATGCAGAGGGTGCAAGCCACGCGTCAATGCTGTGATCCAGACAGAAGACGCACAATCACTGTTTCTCGTCTGGGTTCCGCTAAGACGATAGTGAGAGTTCCAAGTGTGGGAAAAATCAACAGTAACAAGGACAGGAAGCAGAACCTGTGTCGGAGTGGTGCCCTCTCCCTGAGGGAAGGGGACTGGGTGTGAAGGAAAGCCAGGCGGCACCGGGATTACGGGGTCTGTGCTGTACCCCCGCCCAGCTCGTCCTGAGTCTCACCAGCGAAGACTGCAGCCCTCCTCCCAAAGCCCCGTGGCCCTGTCCACCAGCACATAAATCCAGGTCTCTGCTCATGGCCCTCCAGACAGCCCTTCTGTAATGGTCCTCTGTTGGCTTCCTTCTAATGTTCCCTTTCCAAACCACACTCAGTCTGGGAGGCAAAGACCTAGTGGAGCTGACGGGCAGAATGAAGCCTGCCATGGCAGCAGTTCGCCTTCCGTCAGGGTCTCTAGTGAGCTTTTACTGGGCAGGAAAGCGAGGCAGACGCACAAGAAGGGATTCCAACCCTGCACAGTGCAGCCCTTAGTGCTGTCTGTGTCCTCATTAGCTCGGCCAACTCTACCGTGCCTTGTCTCACAAGCTTTATTGCTGTTGAAGTCCGCGGCCCGTGGCCCATGGCCCTTAAATGTTCTCCAGCGCTTCAGTAAACCAGAATGCGTTACTTAAGGGAAAGCGGATTTGAGTGCATAGACTTCGGAGCTCTTCAAATCCCTGCTACTTTGGTCAAATGCCAGAGAGAATTCTCTACTCACAGGCAGAGCCGTAGTAGCTGAAGACCATCGAGGGCAGTGGGATGGGCCCATCTGGCCTGTCGGTTCACAGTCCCGCATATAAATGACGTGAAGAAAGCTTTCCTTGTCAGTCTGTACAACATACCCCGACAGAAGGAGAGGAGTAATGTTGAAAAAGACATAGCTTTCCTGGTCCTCCCTGCCCATGGTGTCCACTGGCACCCAGGCCCTCCTGGTCACCCTGTCTCCTGGTGGCACCCTAGAGCCTGCGCCAAGTGAACTGCCGTTCCATGCAGATGGTGAGGCTGGGAGGACATGAGGAAGCAGCACCCATAATCCCAGGTGTAGAAAATGTAACAGAAAAGGTCAACACAGGTGAAAACTCTGAAATGACAACCACCACCAACGCAGCCGATTGAGTAAGGCTGCTGTCTTTAATATATAAAGAGCTCTCTGGTACCACTAACGACAAGGTAGGCACTAAAGCAGGAAGGAAGTGGGCTGAGCACCCATGAGAAGAACGTCGGTAGCCCTCATAACCAAAGCCATCCACTTCAGGCAGGTTCAGCTTCCGCCCATCAGCAGACAGGCAATAATAATAGCTTGATAGGGGCTAGCGTTGCCTGGGGAGCCTTTAGTTGGTTATTTAATTCATTAAAGCGCCTGTAGGCTGGCATCTCCTTATCCTTGCTTTATAAATGAAGACATCAAGACTCAGAGATGTTACCAGGTCTGCCTGAGGTCCTCTCACCAGCAAGCAACAAGCGAGCTTCAAAGCCCCATCAGTGATGTGGGCACCACCCACTCACGGGCTGAGGGTGAACCTGGCTCAGCTGGAAGGTCATTGGTGATCTAAGTGTGCCTTCAGATTCACCTCCAGGGTTGTCCTAGGGAAAAGTCATCCTGCAAATGTGCACAGTGGGATGTTTATCACAGCATAGCGTTCACAGGAACAGAATGTGGTCCTAAGTCAGATATCAGGGTAGGGTGCTGGGGTGACGTGCAGAGATTGTCTCCGCGTGCTGGTTAGCTGAAGAAAAGATGAGAATGGTGGGACTGTTTCAGTGTAAACTTGAGCGGCACAAAGAAAACACCTGGAAGTTGGTGAATAAATTGTCATCAGTGAGTTGTGTTTCCATGCAGTCAGAGTGTGTTCTGAGACTGCACAGTGAACGTCTTTACCCGTGTATTTTCCAATAGTAAGTGTAGTGTAGAATGAAACACCCACTTTAAGCCAAAAGGAACACATGTCCACTTGTCTCATCAGGCCCAAGTCAGAAAGCTCGGGATGGGGCCCTCACAGAGGACTTCGCATCTGTGTGGTTTTGTACTGATGCGTTTTTCTTTCTTCTCCTTAGGTGCTGCTCAGCCAAGTGCATCGACTGAGAGCCCTGGACTTGCTGGGAAGGTTTTTGGACCTGGGTCCCTGGGCAGTGAGCCTGGTGCGTGTATCAGCTCAGGGACGGGAGGGGACAAGGGCTAGACACAGATCTTGTGGTGTGTGTTGGCAGACTGAGTGTCTCAGGAGCCAGGACTGTGGTCGGCAGTGGGTGTGGGAAGCCCGCGAGGAGCCCTTGGTTTACCTGTGCAGCCTTCATTGGGGGGTTGTGTGTTCCCTCTGATGTTAGACTGGCTTTTGCAGAAAAGGAGGTGCTATTTTCCAGAAAACGACTACCCCCCGCCACTGCTGGGAACCAACGTCCTTGAGCCCGGTGCACCCTCAGCATACAGTGTCTTTCTCTTATTCTATCCCCAGATGCTCTTCTGGATAGAATTATCCATTTAGATAGATCAGAAGCAAAATTCAAGAAATGATCGGTTTTTCCAACAAATAAATAGCCAGGAAAATAAAAGAGAGGTTAAGGGAGAGCCTGTAGGTTAAAAGATGTTCGAGCGGCATCTCGGCCAGTTGCCGTATGTAGATCTCATGTGGTTCCGTTTGCAAATAATCATTAAAACTTTGAAGTTTTATAAAGTGACGTTCACAAGACAGTTGAAATTGTATACTAACTGGATATTTTATTAAGAATACGTGCTCCTTTTTTTAGGTGTGATAATGGTGCTGTGGCTATGTGCTTGTAACAGAGACTTTAGTTTTAGAACTATGCAGTAAATATTTAAGGGCCCCCGATGGCTTACTTGGTTATGCATTGGGCTACTAACCGCTAAGTCAGCAGTTCAAATTTACCCACCACTTTGAGGGAGAAAGATGAGTATATCCAGTCCAGATTTACAGCCTCGGACCCCTGTATAGGGTCTCTATGAGTCGAAACAACCTGAGGATACACAGTAAGAGCTAACTGTTTACAGATGAACCAATGAGAAGACTTCCGAGTATTGCAGGGTAGGCATTCAGGTGGGGCTAAGACAAATCAGCATGGAGCTTGGGGTTTGAGTCAGTGGGTGTCATGGAGATCGGGGAACGAGGCCATCGCAGTAGTCTCTCCACATTTCTGTGTATTTAAAATTTCATAAAATGACTTGATTGTGTGACTGCTCCAATCTTGTGTGTGTGTGTGTGTGTGTGTGTGTGTGTGCCCTTGAGTACATGCCCAATGCCTTCACTTAGTCATGATGGAAAAGCCTAGAGTGTATTGATTATGCTATAAGAAGAGGAGAAAACATGCATTAATATTTTAGGAAGACATGCATTTATTTGGTTAATTTTTAGAAAACTCATTAAGATACTTTCAAGTTAAGCTCACTCTAACTGGAAATGTTGCCAGTAAAGGAACCGACGCCAGATAGCAGAGACATTGCTGTAGACACAGCTTTGGCTCCCAGGTATGGGAAGGCTCATGGCCTGAACCAGAGAACCGTGTGTTTACTCCCCATTACACGTGACCGTGCCCCTAGGAAGGGACCAGGGCCAACGATGGGCCTCTAGGGTCAGGTCTGCCCCTACCCTGTGGCAAGAGACCCAGTGATTGGAGGAGGCACGGTTGAATTGGTTTAGATTGCAGATTCTGAGGTCAGAATCTAGCAAGAGGGTTGGGAGCAGCAGGGCTGCCTGTGGTTCTGTGCCCCAGACCTCCACCTTTGTCTCCTCCCCCTGCCCTGGGGACCAGAGACCCCCACTGCTGCACTGATGGGGCAGGAGGGCTCACTGAAGCTTATCTCGGGGCTGCATGGTGGAGCTGTGAGGGGCAGACAAGGCTCCCTGGGGGGGAAGCAGCTTGTCCCTCGTTGGGGGGATGCTGCCACAGAGTTGTTCTGGTCCATTTGGACCAGTCGGGCCAGCACCCCAAGCCCCAAGAATGAAGTCCCAGAGGACCAACCCTGAGGCTGCCCTGTGACACTCCTTTCTGTCTCTCAGGCCTTGTCCGTGGGCATCTTCCCCTACGTGCTGAAGCTCCTGCAAAGCTCGGCTCGGGAGCTGCGGCCCCTGCTGGTGTTCATCTGGGCCAAGATCCTCGCCGTGGACAGTGTGAGTAATCCGCCAGCCTGCCCACCTCTCCCCGCTTCTCTGCCGAGACCTGTGCTGCCTCCAGTCTCATCTCCCTCCCAGGATCGACCCCATGTTTCCCATCCCCTCCGGGCTGCTGTGGAGAAGCTGTAGTTGACTGGGGAGAACACAGAGCCTTAGTCGGTAGCTGCATCAGAGACCGGGCTGGGGGTGTGGGGGAGTAGGGTCCATGCTCTGGTCTGCCTGCTGGCAGGAGCTAGGTGAAGAGAGAGACAGACACAATATCAGTGAAAGGCTGGTTGGGATTTTTTTCTTGATTTTTAAGCCAGTAGTCGACAAAGGAACAAATGTAGAAACATCCGTGTTTTCAGATCAACTCATGCTGTGGGGTAGTGTGTGAGTGTATGTACCTGTGTATGTGTGTGAATGTTTGTGACTGGTTGTGTCTGTGAGTGTGCATGTATTTGTATTTGGGGGTGTGTATGTGTGAGTGAGTAAATGTGTGGATGTGTATTTGAGTGTGTGATGTTAGGGTGGACATGTTAGGGTGTTTATAATCTGTGTGCATGTGTGGATGTGAGGGAGTGTGTGAGTGTGTGTGTATGGGTGTGAGGGAGTGTGTGGAAGTGAGGCAGAGTATGAGTGTGTGTGTGTTTTGGTGGCAGGGGCAGACCTCTGCTTTACCCAGGGCTCCTTTTGTTGCAGAATCGTGTTCTTTAGCTGACATCACCCCTGTGAGTAAATGCATGTTGACAGATTATTTTGCAGAGGACAACAGGCCCACTTCAGCAACTGCACAAGGTCGCGTAGCCAATTCGTGGCAGAGCAGCCCCCCGGCGTAGAGCCTCTGAGGCTGTGGCGTGGAGTGAGAAGGAAGCTTCTAGACCTAGGAAAGGAGAGGGCATAGCAAAGGCAAAGAGTGGGTTGGGGATAAAGCTGGAGGTCAAGGGCATTGTGGTGACATCAGTTTCTGTGTGTGACCTTGTTTCTCTGGAAAAGCAGCTTGAAAGATTTCCCCCCAGCCTCGTAAAGAATGGCCTTTGTCTCAGTTCTTTGGTGAAGCAACTTGGGGGCAGGAGGACCAAATTGTTTTCTACCACAGAGGGTGTTTCATTTTCCAGGGGCTTCCACAAGTTGATTGACAGTTTGTGGTTCAGCTGTAATCAATGTAATGGTTTAAGATGCTTTTGGTACCAACCTGCCATGTGATTGGTCTGTTGTATGACTCTACCAAGGGTCGGTTGATTTGCTAAGTAAATTGTTGTTGTTGTTGTTGTTGTTAAGTGCCCGTTGAGTTGGTTCCAACTCATAGCGACCCTGAATAGAGTTTCCAAGTTGCAGTTTGTGAAATTGAACTGCCGATCTTGCAATTCATAGCAGCCTTGCAGTCTAGCACATGGACCCACAGCGCCACAGGATTAAGTGACTTGCTGGGGATTGGTCAGTTTGTGATCCTGCTGGGAGGACCATGCCTTCGTATTGAAAATGGAGTTTGCTTTTGTCAGCGGCCACCCCCACAAAGGTTTTAGAAAGGTGAGGAGATGAAGAGACCAGAAGCCGAATTTAAGAGTGAGGGGGAGCAGAACTTCCTTCCTAAAAGCTGTACGTGGGTCAGGGACTGGAGGAGACGCTGCGGCAGCAGCTGGGAGTGCTAGCTCTGCTCCTGGCTGTGAGCCGGACCAGTCAGCAGGGAGAGGCAGAAGGCACTGCAGGGCTAAGAGGCGCTGACAGCTGCCCTGGGCTGAAAGGGAGCCTTGCAGACCTTGCCTGTGTGCTTCCTGTTCCTGACCCTGAGGACCTTGCCTGTGTGCTTCCTGTTCCTGACCCTGAGGACCTTGCCTGTGTGCTTCCTGTTCCTGACCCCGAGTTGCAGACTGTTGCTTCTTCATAAAACACAGCTCCTGACATGTAGACGTCGTCACAGCGAAGTAAAGGGTGTCAGGGGGACTGGCCAGCAACTTGGGGAAGTTGGAACTTCGGGTATATATATGTGACCTCCCTCATAGGAAGGGACTTTGTGCTGATTCTTATTTATGAAATGACTGATTTCGGAATGATGACAAGGCTGTCGGCTTGGACAGGTAGCACTTTTCTGTGAGCTAACTGAAGTGGAGTAAATGGACCTCCCGCCTCCTCTCACCACACCCCAACTCCTGGACTGACTCTCTTTTAGTCATCTCCCCCCCCCTTCTCCAACACCCTATATGCCCCCAAATCCCC